GTGGTTTGGACTAAAGGGGTAGCAGTGGAGAAGGTAAGATGCCAGTGATTTGAAACACACATAGGAGGGTGAGATCAGCTGGTCTTGGAGATAGACGGGGCATGTAGGTGAAATTGAGGGAAGTATCAAGAAAATTCATCTTTTTTCTCCATTAATATTTCATAAATTCACAATTTAAGTCTTTTGGATAGTATTAGTTTCCTAGGGTTCCTATAATAAATTACCATAAAATAAGTATCCTACAGCTGCAAAAATGTATTCTTTCGTAGTTCTGGAGGCTATACAAACTCAAGGTGTCAGCAGAATTGTGTTCCTTTTCATGACTCCAAAGAAAAATCTTTTCTTGCATCTGACAACTTCTGGTTGCCCCAGGCATTCCCCCCTGTGGCTGCTTCTTATCTTCACATAGATGCCTCTTCTGTTTCTTATAAGGACAAGTGTTTTTTGGTTTGGGACCCATTCAGATAATCCAGGATCATATTATCTTGGGGTTCTTATCTTAATGATATCTACAGAGACCCTTTTTCCAAATAAGGTCATATTTACATGTTCGAGGATTAGGATATGGACATACCTTTGTTGAGGTCACTCTTCACCTCACTATAGGCATAATGTGCATTATGATGAATGCCCCAAATGACCTTTACATATGCTGTGGTAGGGGCTACCAGAACTTAGCTATGTGCACACATCATTGTCTCCATATATCATTTGGGGAGCACTGAAGGGTTTGTCCTCCATTTCCAAGTGCTAGTTTAGATCATAAGTGTCCCCTGAAAGTTCTTGTGTTAAACTTGGTCCCTGGGTGATGCTATTGGTGGACACTTTAAGAGGTGAGGCCTAGTAGGAGGTCTTTGTGGCATTGAGTGTGTACCCTTGAAGAGGACTGTGAGATCTCTGCCTCTTCCTTTCTTTCTCTTTTTTTTCCCTAGCAATGAGGTGAGTGGTTTTGCTCTGCCACATGTTCCCGCCATGATGTACTGCCTTACCACAGGCCTAAACACAGTGGGCCAACTGATCATGGACTCAATCCTCTGAAACAATGATCCAAAATAAATTTTATAATTTTCTTTTTCTGAGTTGATTATCTTTGGTGTCTGTTATGATGATGGGAAGCTGATAAACATCCCAAATAACTTCAAGTAATCACCAAGTCTAAAAGGCATACTGGTCCTTGGGAAGCCTTTGTGTTCCAGAGTGTCCTGTGCATACTCTCATCATCAGATGTAATCCATGCATTTAATCACCTGGCACTGAAGTCCCTCATTTACTCAACTCACTTGTTTGTAAGGCATTGAGGGAAACAAATGTATTCACCTTTGCATCCTCATGGCTGGCACTGTGCCTAGTAAAGAAGGGATTCTATGACCTTCTTTGAGGCACTTCACATTAGACTATAAGTGGTCCTGAAAATTTTTTTTTGTTTGTTTCTATCAAACCACAGTTAACTTTCTCTCTCTCTCTCTCTCTCTCTCTCTGTGTGTGTGTGTGTGTGTGTGTGTGTTTGTGGTGCTGGAGATGGAACCCAGGGCTTTATACATGTTATATAAGCAGTCCACCAACTGAACTATTGCCTCAGCCCATAATTAACTACTTAATTAATTCAAGATAACTGAATGGCTGATGCACAATTTTTAATGGAGCCAGGATATAAATAAAAACCACCACATATTGTTTAGTTTTCATGTAGCTGCTGGTAACATATAAATTCTTATATTTTAATAGCTCAGTCTGTTGGAAAGACCCATCTGAATAAATTACCTATAAATCAGGAGTAGTTACTATAATAAATGCACACATGAAATATTATGGGGGCAAAGAACAGGGAGCAGCTATTTGTTTTGGGGATAGTTAGAAATGACTTCCAAGAGATGACATATAAATCGGTTCTTGAAGGATGAGTGAGCAGAAATTTTTCAGGGGGAGAATATTCCAAAGTGAGATGGAACTGGTTGGGAATTCTATTGAAACCATAATAGCAATACAAGAGTGAAAATTCAGTCATTTCAAGAATAATGGGATTTTCTTTTCTTTCTTTTTTCTTTTTTTTTAAACAGATGCAGAAGGCAGATAAAGAAGTGGTTAATTATTTTGAGGGAATAAGACTTGATACTAAATGTACATGTAAGGCTAACGATGGAGGCAGAACCACCATGAGGCCATCCCTCAGCAGACTCTGGGTCTTTCTTTTTAAAAATGGGGTGCCTGCACTCTTTGGATGTTGATTAGAAATGTGGTCTGGGTTTTCTCCATGGCAGGCTGTAAATCTATATTTTAGTCAGGAATTTGCTCTTTTGGATTAATATATAATGTCCTTGAAAGCCCTCAATTCTTTTCTTTCTTATTTTTTTTTCGTAAGGGGGGAAAAACCTTCTTTAAAAAGCTACATGATAGTGCTGTATTTAGCTCATTTCAACAAAGGTCACGGCATTTCTGAGTAGTAAACACTATTACTAGATCTTTCCAGTGTCTGGGTGTTTGGCAGCCATGCCTCCATCTGGAATAAATGACTGGAACTCCAAGGGTGTAGGACAGCTGTGGGCCTGTGAAGCCTGTGGGCATCTGGAAGAGGCAGATGCATCCTGTTTCTCCTCAGCCACAGCCAGGAAGAGAATCAAGGCAAAACTCTCTCTTTTGCTCAAATCAGCCAGACTATTGAGCAAGTTTAAAGCCTGTCTGGTCCACAGGTTTTATTTTGGCTTTAGAAACCAAATGGATAAGAGGAGATTTATTGAAGAAGCTGCTGTCAGGAATCTAGGATTACTTTCAGTTGCAGCCTAGCAACACCTGGATTCTACTCCTAGGATATTTCCTCCTGTGAGGGTAATATCAGCAATTAATATACTTGTATTTGTAAAGCTTTATTCTTTAGGGAATATCCAACCCTTGGGAGAGGTCAGCTAATTAATTTCTGCAATGTTTCAGATTAGACTGTTGTGTGTTTTATGACTTTGAAGATAACAGTGATTATTAAGCTGTAAAAATATGAAATCATTTTTGTAAGGAGTCCCAGTAAGGAAGTAATAGAAAACAGTTAAAGAACTTGGATATTCTAAGAAGGATTTTTCACCACTGCCTCAGAGCAGGACCCTCATAGGAGTGTCCACCCAGCTGTTAAGCAAGGGGAAAAATTACAAACACAAACAATATTATCAAAAGAAAAGTAATATGCTTCAACATTCTAAGGAAACCCACATTACTCTAGAGATGATCTGAAATCATCTATATCTCTGGATCAGAGACAACTTCTTAGCAGCTTTGAAGCCAGTGATTGGACAAATGCCTTTCATTTGTGGTGGTGGAAAAGTCACTGGACCCATGAACACGTAGGTTTGAGCATATCTCCCTCAGTGATGAGCTCTTAACCTTGGCAAGATACTGGGTACCTCAGAATAGCAGTGCTCTCAATTATGGAATGATTAATAATTGCCCAACAGTAGACTCTTCTCTTCACCTTAAGAACCAGCCTCCCGGTTCAAGAAGCTCAAATCACTCAAATCACTGCTACTGACTTCCAATGAGTCTCCTCTATTTCATGCCTGCTCATGTACTATGTCTTTTTCATATAGCTCTTGGAGTGGTCTTTTAAATTGCTATTCAGTTTGTGTTATTCTTTTGCCTAAAATCCTCTACGGGAATCCGTTGTATTTAGAATAAAGCACAAACTCCTTACCATGACCTTCATGACCTTGCATGGCCCTTGCTCACCCACCAGGCCTTATCTTGCCATAGTATCCTTGTTCACTGTGCTCCAGCCATACTGACTTTTCCGCCCCTTGACCAGACAAGGCTGCTTTACCTTTGGGCCTTGGCTGTTCAACCATCTTCCCCATTTCTGAATGGCTCTTTTATTTACTCCTTCAAGTCTTAGGTCAAATAACTTCTGTTCAGAGAGGTCATCCCTGACTATGGTATTTAAAGTAGCATCCTCTGCCACTTTCTAACATTTTTTTTTTCATTCACAGCAATTATCACAATGTGAATTTATCTTGTCTAGTTAATTGTTTTACTATTTATTATAATTCCCCCCACCCCCAAGACTGTCAGCTCTGTGAGAAACAATTTTTTTTTTCCCTTGTAGTGCTGGGGATTGAACCCAGGGCCTAGTCCATATGAGGCAAGCACTCTACCCAGTTCAAGAAACAATGTTTTATCTACTGTTTTTACTGAGCATTCTCAGGATTTAGAATAATACTTGACAATCTTAGTATGTACTAGGTACTCAATGAATTTATATTTTTTGGATGAATAATGAATGCATTTAAAGGTTATTATGCACATGGAAGTGTTGAGCCCACAAAATGCTTTAATTTGCTCTTATATTCTTCTTGGGGACTTGTTCTGGGATAAACTTCTCTTGACCAATAGGAAATAATGATAATGATACTTAATACTTATGAGTTTCAAGTATATATGGGACACTGTTCTAAGTGCTTTTAATGAATTACCTCATTTACCAACCCTCTAAGATATGTACTGCTATTATTATAATTATTAAGATGACTAGACTAGAGAACAGATGGCCAAGTAACAGAGGAACAAAGCTAGTGAGTGGGAAACTAGGATATAGACTCAAGCAATTTAGTCCCACAGCTATGATCTTATCTTTAACTTACTCAAATACCCTTTGTTAACCTAGCATTCAAGTTTTTAACAATCTGGTAACAGCCAACTCTCCCAACCTCTTCTCTCACTAACCTCATTCATTGACTAGTTCATTCATTTATTCATTCGATGCACATTGAATGTTTATCTACCTTCTGCAGGTCACTGACCTAGGTCCTAGGACTACACAGCTAAATAACCTAGTATCCTTCTTCAGGTCTTCTGAGATAAGGGAAAGGATGGTTGGAAACATGAACATCCTTATTTTACCAATGCTCTTAGCACAATCAACCCTTTGAAAAACTCAAGCAGGGAGTTTACTTATTTTATTACCTAAGATTGTTCTTTTATGACAAGGGATGGATTTTAATATTTATGAGGTGTCTTCTAGATACCTGATTTCTCCAAACACAGCTCCAGCTTTCAGGGTAACCAGAACTTTAGTACCATCAGGCCCTCCAAGGACTTGGACTTCTCCATGCTTAATGATATACATTTCTTTACCAATTTCTCCCTGTATGCCAAATATAAAGAGAAACACATAGTCATTGTACACTTAACAATTATACCCCAAATTAAGAAATATAAACTCTTCCAGAGGAGCAAATACAAATGAAGGAAGCGCAGGACATGATTGTAAAAACAGTTTTCTTAAGACCTCTGTTACAGAAACTGTTTGGACATATTATATGAAAGGAAATGATTGGAAAGAAAATACTTTGCAACACTTGAGCACTGTAAGCCAACACTGGACACAGTCAGCATACTGCCCGAGGAATGGGCATGAGTAAAGAAAATAACTGATTGGATGAATGATGTACTCTGGTTTTGGTGACCACAGTTATCCTCTGAAGAAGGTACTTGATCCATCCAAAAAGCACGGACTACAGCCATTCCAAGGTGAATTCTGTCTTTCTGCCTATGCCACTGAGGTCTGATTTTGGGACTCAAGGCACAGGAGACCCTAAAGCTATTATTTTTGCTCCATATTGAGAGATGCTAATGCACCAAGTTATCTTACTCAGTTCTTGTTTATCTTTGGAAACTCCTGGGAACTAGGGCAATGACCTGTAATCAAGTCCCTAGAATTTGTCTCTTGGGATATTCACATGGTCCCAAGTCAATGGTGTTATTCTGTATGCCTGAGGCAGTGTGGCAGCTGTCAGCATTCTTTAATGTAAACACATGATTTTTGATGTGGCCCTTGTACCTGGTTTTGAGGTTGGATCATGATTGTCATTTAGTTAAATGACTAGCCTCATTTAAGTACTCTGGACTCAATAACTCAGATTTCTCCAAACACACATATTTTGCTCATGTCCCTGTGGTACAATACAGAGAAAAATGCATATACATGTGGCCCTCATAGAAGTAGGGCCTAGAATGCCTGTGACTGATTTCTCTAGTCTTTACTCCTATACATCTTTTTCTAACTGTTCCTGACGATCCTTTACTATAATAAATCTTAAGCTATGAATATAACTTTTTATTGAATTATGTGAATCCTTATTGTGAATCACTGAAGTAGTGGGTAATTATGGGGTCCTTGAACACATCTCAACTTCCAGAAAGAATAAATGTGTCCACCTTAGTGAAATTTAGGTCAAGAGAAGCTGTTAAATTCCAAAAATCCAATTTGCATAATAGTAGACAAGATATTTAGGTAGGTCCATCCCTTCATTCATATTAAGTAAGGTCTTCATCTGCCTGAGCTCTTTCTGTGGTCTGAATGTATCCTTCAAATTTTTTTATGTTGGAAACTTAGTCATTAACTTCATATGTTAATGGAGTTGGAGGTGAGATCTTTGCGAGGTGATTAGGTCCTAGGGGGCTCTGCATTCTTGAATGGACCATTTATGGATCAGTGGATTATCACCAGAGTGGTGGTTGTCATAAAAGCAGCTTTCTGTGGTGAGCTTGCTCTGACTTGCCATGTGATGTCCTCTGCCATATACTAGTGCAGCAAGAAGGGCCTCACCAGATGCTGAGCAGATGCTGGTGCCATGTGCTGGGACTTTTCAGTCTATAGAACTGTGAGATAAATAAACCTTTATTCTTTGTAAATTAATCTGTCTGTGGTATTCAGTTATACAACAGAAAACAGACCATAAACAAGTAGCAGGATTATAATAAATTTACTTACTTGGTTTAGGAAGGGACTAGATTGAATTAATCAAACAAACATTCTTATTATTTATACTTCCAAAGGATTAGATAAAATACATTAAAATCAATTCAAGATTAAACAATATTAATTATAGTTTATATCTGAGATGGCTGAGACAATGTCTGCTGTGTTCCAGTGCTGAGCACAAGGCTTGATATATAGTAGGCACTCTTTTATGAATAAGGGAAATACAATTGTTTCTGGGAAGTTTTGAAGTCCTTTGATACCTACAGTTATATTCCTCAACATTAAGTGTATTATAATTATTAGGCTGAGTTTAAAGTTGTCAGATTGTACCTTTTGGTTGATATCTGGGAAATTGAAATTCTCATTTTATCTCCCCATTACCTTCATGAGGAACATAGAATAGGAACTGTCATTTCTACTCTACCAAGAAGAAAGCCAGGTGTGATGGTGCACACCTGTAATCTCAGCAGCTCTGGAGGCTGAGGTAAAAGGATTGTGAGTTCAAAGCCAGCCTCAGCAAAAGCAAGGTGCTAAGCAACTCAGTGAGACCTGTCTTCTAAATAAAATACAAGATAGGGCTGGGAATGTGGCTTAATGTTCCAGTGCCCCTGAGTTCAATCCCCAGTATCACCCGTCTCCCCCCACCCCCCCAAAAAAGAAAACAAAGGCACAGATTGACTTAGCTGAGTAATCAATATTCTATGACTTGGTAATTAAAAACAAAAGGAAGCTGAGAACCCACATTTCCTAACTGAGCAGTGAAAGAGGTATGTTTAACTTTTATATTGTGTAACATATTAAGCATTTATTTAAAATTATATATAGATCAAAGTAGAATAAGAGTTTTATTATAGTTATTTATATAATATCAATACCTCTACTAATAGTTTGACTTTGCATAGTACTTTTAAAAATAATGAGGGGCTGAGGTTGTGGCTTAGTGGCAGAGCATTTGCCTGACATGTGTGAGGCACTGGGTTCAATTCTCAGCACCACATATAAATAAATGAATAAACTAAAGATCCATCAACAACTAAAAAAACAAAAAAATAATGAGTACATTTGATATTTGTGTAGTTTTTTTTTTCTCTTGATACCAGGGATTGAACCACTAGGCTATACCTCCAGCCCTTTTTATATCTTATTTTGAGACAGGGTCTTGCTAAGTTGCTGGGGCTGGCTTTGAACTTGCTATCTTCTTGCCTCAGCCTTCTGAGCTGCTGCCATTATAGGCATGTGCTACCATGCCTGGATTGCATAGCTTCTTATTTTATTTCCTGCATTTGTTCTATCAGAATGTGCTGTTTTATATTGGAAAGCATTTCATAGACATGAACTTGTTTAATTCTTGCAAAAATCCCAGTGAGATCAAATAGGGAAGGTATCATTACTCTTATTTAAAAATTCGTAGTAGAGGTTTAGAAAGATAAGTGTCTTGCACAAAGTTAAAAGATCGGCTGGTGACAGCACTAGAACTGGCAACATCTATGTCACCTCACACGCCTCACATGCAGATGACCATATCCAACATTGGATCCAACATCCAAGATTTCTCTCTTAAACATGAATAAAATAGATATAAATCACTTAATTTATTAATTTTGGCATACTAGGGATTGAACACAGGGGTGTTTTACCACTGAGTTACATCCTTTCTATTTTTTTGTTTTGAGACAAGGTCTTATTGAGTTACTGAGGCTGGCCTCAAACGTGATCTTCTTATCTCAGTTTTCTGATTCACTGGGATTATAGGCCTGTGACATAGTGCCTGGGGAATGATTTTAAAAGTAAGGCAAAGCATCTGAAAATTAGTTTTCCAAGGGGTACTCCAGGAAGTAATGATCAGGACAGGGTCACATTCTGTGTTTTTTGCATGAAGTAGTTCTCAAGGAACTGGAATGATTTTTTAAAAGGCAGTTATTACAACTGACTGGAGGTAGAAGTACATAATGGGTGCTTAAATATAGTTCAGCACTTTTAATTATTTCTTAATGATCATTTCAATAATTTTCCAAGGAGATCTGGCATAATCAACGAACCAAAACTTCCACTATTTCTTGCATATTTCTAGGCTAATTTAAACCTTTCCTGCAAGTTTAATTAGCATTCAAATGAAGTAGGCATCCCTCAGAGAATAAGGGCTGAGAGCTGTGCAAAATAAAATGGAACCAAGCTCTGAGGCTGGTGTATGAACTGATTCCAAGAAAGTGCAGAAGTGCAAGTGCTTCATGAAGGGTGTGCAGCCTTTAGTGAGATCCAAGTTGGAATTTCAGGGTTCCTAGTAGAAGGCTATTCCAAGGCTGGTGGGGGCATTATGAAACTCAAGTGGATCCTATCAGGAAACAGCAGTGATGCTCACAATGTGGTTACGGGATCATCAGCATCACTTAAGAGCTTATTTAGAGGAGCAAGTTCTCAGGCCTGCTTCAGAAATATTAAATCAGAATCTCAGGGAATGAAATCCTGGGAGTCTGTGTTTTAAGATCTCTGGCACCCCATGAACAATGGTGCACACTTGTGATAGGAGTGGTTTTAAAGGCTGAGGGAGGAGCAAGTTCAAAGCCAGCCTCAGTGACTGAGTGAAGCTCTAAGCAATTTAGCGAGACCCTGTCTCAAAATAAAAAACATAAAAAAATGAACTGGGAATGTGGCTCAGTGGTTAAGTGCCCCTGGGCTCAATCCCAGTACCAAGAAAAAAAAAAAAAAAAGATTTCTGGGTAATTTCTACATTGCTGTAGAACATCCTGAAGAAATTCCTAAATAGTCTCAAAGCAGTCCAAACAACCCATTCAGTAACTTTAGAGACCATTTTGAGGATCTGACCCTTCAGCAAACTCAGTCCTAAACCCTGCCATTTCTTAAATTATTTTGGTAACCTGACATTGAACATGATTTTTTTCCCCCTTCATATTTCCTATAGTGTTTTGTGGAAATGATAAGCAAAAAACCAGTGTGAACTAGCTGTCTAAAGTCTGGACAAGTAATAGCCCTTTTTCTCTGTCAAAAAGAAATGTGACTTATAGTTCTCATGTGGTCTCCTTTCTACCTTTCCTTCCCTTGGTGTTGTTCACTGATCTGTTTTTATTATTGGGTGATGAATGCGGCATGATGAAAACATTAGAAATGAGAAGGCTGTATCTCTACTCTGCATTTCACACTTCGTTAGGCAAATTTTTACTGCTTAGGGGCCCAAGTGCTAAAGTTTCTATGAGTCATCTCAATTTCCAGTCCCTGCTGCTATTGGAACAAATTGAAAGGCCATTTTGGTACATTAAGACCATATCATTTCAATGCATCACTGCCCCAAGGGGTCCTTAAATTGCACTGTGGTTTATATTTCCCATTCTAATGAAATGATTTTACCGATTTACCTACTTTTTTTTTTTTTTTAAGGATTGAAGATCAAACCCAAATGCTAGGCAACATTCTACCCCTGAGCTTCAACCCCAGCCCTTTTTAATTTTTATTTTGAGATAGGGTCTTGCAAAGTTGCCTGGTCCGGCCTGGAATATGCAATTCTTTTGCCTTAGCCTCCCTAGTGGCTGTGAATACAGGCATGTGACACAGTGCCTGGCTTAGTCTGCCTACTTTTAACTCAGACAAGTTTGTGTGGGATTGTGTGTTCTTGGTTTCCTTTATGCCACAATCTCTTCTTGGTTTCCCTTCTTTTATTTCTGACAGTTCCTCCTTAACTGCCTTCTCTGAGTATTCTTCATTGATCTCCTTCATGTTCTTCACCGACCTTCATGTTCTTCAAAGTTACAGCTTCAGCCTTCTTTGTCTTACCTTTCTCTTGACTTGCTTTTGAAGTCAGCTTCCACTATACCGCAGTGCCCAAACATTTGCTGTCAACTACCTATCATCAGACTGATTTCCACCTGTCACCTGGTGCCTCCAGCCTGATACTTTAAGTAGTTTACAGTCCATTTGACTTTGCTTTCTCCACTAGCTCAGTCACTCACGTGCTTCCATTCTTTGGATATGTGAAGCTCTGTTTTGCCCACTGGTCCACCATCTTCTCATCAAAAATGCTATCCTGGCCGCTGGCTTTTTTGTCTGTTAGCTTTTAAAATTTTTACTAAAGAACTATTTTAATTCCTTTGATTTTCCAAAGGTCATGCCTGAGAAAATGATAATTTCCCTCTCTCCCAACCTCCAGTGTAAATTACGTGCCTTTGCATACTTTCCTGGCAACTTTAATTTCCCCTTTATATGATACATTCTGGAGTAAGGCATTTATTTAATTTCATTTATATTGTCGATTTTCTCTTCCCTAGGCCAGTGTTTCTTAACCTTGGCTACATTTTAGAGTCATATGGGAGCTTTTACTAAATGCCAGTGTGGAGGCTCCATCTCCCTCGGTGTGGAGTCGAGACTTTTATATTCAGGTGATTCTGATGTACACTGTGAATCGAATCCATAGTGCTAGACTGTAAGCCCCTAGAGGACAAGACCAGCTTTTTTCTCTCAGTACTTAGCATAGAGCCTGCCCCAAGATATTCAAAAAGATTGGTTGAGTTTTGTTGAATAATCATTCTAAAACTGTACTAATATTTACCTTCTTGTCGTCTTCTGCATTCCTGCCGAAGACTCTGTTCCTTCCTGTCTGCCTTAGCTCATGCCAGTTCTTTTCTCTCCCAGAACACTTACTTCCTCTTTGACTTGGCTCATTCCAACTTATCTTTCAAGACTTAGTGTGAACATCTTCAGGAAATCTTGTCAGTAGCCAGGAGGGACAAGTGCCATTTCTTTATGTCCTACAACACCTTGTACTTACTTCAGTGTTACTTTGGAATGAAGTAAGTGCTTCTTATTCTCACTGGTTTCTGAACTTCAAAGATCTTGGATCCACTTTCATTTCTTTGAATTGTTTATGTTCTTCTATTTTTTTAAATTTTGATTATTGATTTCAGCTTTGAGTTAGCCTCTCCAGTTATGAAAACCAGGGTCATCCTTCTCTGATCAAAGCTAGTGATCAGAGATGTGCAAAACTATTTATCCAGGGGAATTTTTGTTTTAGAATTACTTATAACAACAATCATTTGGAATCTTATCATGATATATCCATAGACCAGAATATTTTGCAGCTTAAAAAAAATCAGTTAAGCCAGGCATGGTGGCACATGCTTGTAATCTCAGGGGTTTGGGAGGCTGAGGCAGGAGGATCACGAGTTCAAAGGCAGCCTCAGCAATGGCAAGGTGCTAAGCAACTCAGTGAGATCCTGTCTCTAAATAAAATACAAAATAGGGCTGGGGATGAGGCTCAGTGGTTAAATGCCCCTGAGTTTAATCCCTAGTACCATAAAGAAAAAAAATCAGGTTATAAAAGATTATATAATAATATGTAAAATGTTAATATGATATACTGTCACATGGCAAGTTTCAAAACATATATATGGTATAATATTGATTTCATAAAACAAGCTCTATCTAGCTATCAACCAAATATAGAATGATAGACCAAATGTATGTATAATGATTACTTCATATTATGGTGGTGGAATTTTTGTCTTTGTGTTCTATGTATTTTCTATTTTACAAATAATGACTATCAATTACTTTTGTAATCATCAAATACACAGTAAAGTTTAAAAAATATGGCATTGATTACCACTAAACTAGCTGAGCAAAGCATAGGTAAATGATGATTTGCTGAAGACATAGGGAAGAAATACCTATTGCTTCTGTAACTTATTCCTCCACCTAAAATATTTAAAGTTAATGGGGTGTGGTGATTGGTAATTTACATTGATATAAAGCACATTTTCTGATTATTGATGTTTCTATTAAATAATAAATGTGATGAAATCTGTATTGTCTTCTTTCATTTTGAAGTCTAAGAGGAGCTTATTGTTTTACAGAATCAAATATCATAACTACTTCTATACTATGGAATTCACCCTGGACAGATTTTGTCTCAACTGTGCTCACAACCTATGTCTGAATTCTGCAAATGTGCTTATTAGTTGTGCATCTGAAAATAGTATGCACTCACCTTTTTGCAGACAAAGTCACCAGGTAAATAGATAGTGGATTTCAATCTTAGCAACATGTCATAAATCATCTGGTTGTCACAATTCTGTATAAAGAGAAAAATAATTCTTACAGACACAGCAAAATGCCAATATCCCAAATGAATTAAAAACACAATGGAAGTAAACAGTAATGGATGCTGTCTGTATTAGCAACTAAAATATTAGTTGCTAGTGGATGTGGACTTGACCCAAAATTTGGGAAAAAAGATACCTACAGTATAATGACAAGACTTTGCAACTTGACCAGGTAGGTCTGGGTGAGAATTCTGTCTCTACTACCTATTATTTTGCAATCTCTCATGCCCTCAGTTTCCTAATCTGTAAAATGGTTAGAGAAACATTGCTTATCTTATAAGTTAAACTTAGCATGGTTCTTAATCAGTGATAGCTATTAATGATTGTGATTATTAGTATATTAGTACTCAAATAGATCACACTCTTTGCAGATTTTTTAAAAAATATCATCTTTTATACAATTGCTAGGTATTATTTAACTTTGCAAACTTACATGTCTTTCTTCCCCAACTTGATTATCATTTTCTTAGAGGCAGGGAAAATATTTGTAATAAATTGGTATGAAAGAAATATCTGCTGAGTGAATGAGTATAGTCACTTTAATAGTATAAGAAACAAATTTTATTTTATTTTATTTGTAAAATAAATGTCTCTGTGTGTATTGGGTCTAAATTAATTATAATTTATACGATGAACTGAAGAAAAACTTATGAGTGTTTCAATAATCCCATTTTACATAGTGGCTTTGCACCTTTTGCTTTCACCTAATATTTTTATCTTTTCTCCCAGAACTTCTAACATGTAGCAATTTTCCTTTTGTAGTTGGCCCTGCTCACCCCTTAGGGGAATTATGATTTTGTAGAGGAATAATCATAAAGTAGGCAGTGGGAGAAGGATGAGGAGATGCAGAGGGCCTGCCCCCAATTTGTGGATTGACTGATCCTTCCTTTAGTAATCACTGGTTTTCAGTAATGGTTTCTGTAGCAGACACTTGACCTAGATCCATATGAAATTTAGACCTCAGGGTTGCTTGGCCGATAAAAAAAGTTAATCATTTATGACTGAAGTATCTTCAAGTAGCCATTGGTGAAAAACAGTCAGAAAAACTTGGTGTTAGAATTTTAAAAATTCATTTGAGAAAGGATAGCTTCTGGTTCTCCAGAATGGAAAAAAGACCAAGGCCAGGAGGAATACCTTTTGTTAAAAAAAAGAAATCATAATAGTTCAAACATATTAATTGTATCAATTAATGGATTTCACGGTGACATTTCCATTCTCGTGCATGTTGGGCTTGGATTGAATTCACCCTCCCTCTTCCTGCCTGCCTCAGTCCCCCAGGAGTGGAGTAGCTGGATCTTAGGATAGATCTATTTTAAGAGTTTTTGAGGAACTTCCATACTGATCTCCATAGTGGCTGTACTAATTTACATTCCCACTAACAGAATATAAAGGTTTTGCTTCACATCCTTCCCAACATTTATTTATTTATTTTTTGTTTTGGGATAATTGCCATTCTGACTATAGAGAGGTAGAATCTTAATGAAGTTTGGATTTGCATTTCCTTGACAGCTAAAAATGTTGAACATTTCCTCATGTGTTTCTTGGCCATTTACACTTCTTCTTTTGCAAACTGTTCAGATCATTTGCCTCTGCATTAATTGGATTATTTGTTATTTGTTGTTACCTGTTTTGAGTTCTTTAGGTATTTTGGATATTAATCCTCTGTCAGATGAATAATTTGATTCCCACCTTTTCTATTTGTATCCCTCTTATTTATTTCTCTTTAGACTGATGGCTCTGGCTAAAATTTTAAGTACTACAGAAAATAGATCTCTTACAAGCGATTATTTTTTGCTAAAGCAGGTCAAAGACAATTTTTTTTTCAAAAAAGTGTTTTTAGTAAAAAAAAAAGTAAAAAAGGTGTTTTTAGTAAAAATTCTCTAAATGACTCATTTGCCCAATTTCTTTAAATGCTGTCATCATTTCAGAATTGTTTTATTTCAGAAATTAGCATTCTTATCAGTCAAAACTCACTTAGAAAAAAACCCCACAAACTTGCTTTTTAGATTTTCTCTACTAAGGAAAGTTAGCATCTTTGACATTTTAAAGAAAATCTATTAGAAATATGCTTGCAGGTTCTTAAACATGTACAGTCATCCCTCCCTCAATATCTGTGGTAATTGGTTCAAGGATCCCTTGTAGACACCATCTGTGGATGTCCCAGTTCCTCATAGGAAATGGCACAATGTTTGCATATAACTTACAGACATCTTTCTGTGTACTTTAAACTACCTCTAGGTTACTCATAATACCTAATGCAATGTAAATACTATGTAAGTAGTTCTTGCATTGTTTAGCAAATCATTACAGTTAAAAAGGTCTGTAAATGTTTTGTAGAAACACATTTTTTTCCTTAATATTTTTGATCCAAGTTTGTTTGAATCTGCAGATGTAGAACCCACAGATTAACAGAGATGACTATACATGTCTGAGACGTTATTGTAATGGAAATAGCTCATACCCATAGAACAGATGTGCATTATAAATGATCAGAAATAGAAGATCTCAAAAAACCTACTTATATTTATTTTCATATTTGATTTTATTTGTAATTAAAATTTGTGGATAAAACTACTAAATGGAAAATTCCAGAAATAAACAATTCATAAATTTTAAATTGCCCATCATTCTGAGTAGTATAATGAAATCTTAGGCTCTCCAGCTCTGTCTCTCCCAGAACATGAATCAGCCCTTTGCCCAGCATATACCTGCTATATGTGCAACCCACCATGATTCTTTTAGGAGCATCTCAGCTATCTGATCGACTGTTGTGGTGTCTCAGTGTTTCTGTTCAAGTTAATACTTATTGTAGTTAATAATGGCCCCAAAGTGCAAGACTAGTGATATAGGCCATTTGATTATGCCAATAAGAAGCCATAAAGCACTTCTTTTAAGTGAAAAGGTGAAAATTCTCAACTTAAGGAAACAAAATTCATTGTATGCTGAGATTACTGAGATATATGGTAAGAACAAATCTTTTATCCGTGAAATTGTGAATAAGAAAAAAAAAAACTCCTTCATGCTGGTTTGTTGTACCTCAAATCGAAAAAGTTACAGCTACTGTGTATGATAGGTGCTTAGATAAGATTGAAAAGGCATAATTATTGGGTTTTGGCATCCACCGGGGGTCGTGGAATGTATCCCTTATGGATAAAGAGGGTCTACTAAATTGAAGAAATTGTCAATGTATAGGTAGATTAAATAATAAAATTTGAGTACACTGGCTAAAATATTTGTAGATGAAAATATTGTAAAGAGGTTAAAATACATCAAATCTTTATATTGATATACCTAATGAAACTCAACGAAGTTGTCTGAATGTAATATATTCAATATTATAAAATCACAAAAATTACCACACAAAATACTTCCTGCTGTTTATGTTTATACAGATAAAAATAAAATTGTAAAAATAAGAATTGAAAAGATAACCTTAAAAATAATTTTAGTGGCTGCCTCTGGAGAGGGAGGATGGAAAGTGGATCTGGGAAGAACTGATGAGACTTCAATTTAATTTTTATTCCTTTAAAATTTTAATGGAAATGAAAATAAAAATTTCTCTTTTTCCATGGAGAAACACATTTCATTTTTCCTCTTCTGTCCTTCAGACGAGCTCACTGGAAGAAAGGACTAATAAATGATACCAAATCAATGGAAAGTGTTAGACCAACTGAGGAGATAAGCCCTAAAATAACTAAACACACAATTAGTGCTCTGCTCAGTAGGAACACACACAGCACTTACCTCAATGGTTTTTAAGCTCATAGTTTGGATTTTCTGAGAGAAAAGCATTGAACTATTCTAAACATGGCTTTTTTGTTAACATAATTGGATAGAACATGGATAAATCATGCAAACTGAACATAGCAAATGTATGTAGTAAAAATTTGGAATTTGTTTCACCAATTAAGTGACTCTATCTCCTAACTAGTGCTTTATGGAAAGGTGCCACTGGCTTTGGGCAGCTGTGCTTTAAGACTAAATCCTTCTCATCTGGATTTATGCTTAGTGAAATGAAGTTTGCATTATGATATTCTTCTATTTTATGATGTGTTAGAAAACTATTATCTTTTTCTTTTTTCTCCACAAAATCTTTATTTTCTTGATACACTTTGCCCCATTTGTATATAATTAAAAAGAACTATATCTTGGGGTTGGGTGGGTTTTTTGTTTGTTTGTTTGTTTCGTTTTGATTTTCCTTTTGACTTAGCTGCATTTCTTTGATAGAAATCATTAGGAATTTTTCTGATTTGCAGAAAATCAGAGCATAGTCATTATTTTGCAGATGTCCTCTTTTCTGTATTAATATCAACATTAACACATTATTGCATGATGTTTCCAATAAGTTTACTATTTTGCTAACTTAACCTGTTTACTTCTTGCAACCTCTATATGGTGCTTGGCATTAAGGAATGCATTCTCATCAGTCCTGGTTTTCAGATGAAGGATCAAAGTCTCTTGGAGGTCCATTGACTTTCCAGAGTGTCAGAGGAAGTTTTTATTTACATCCTGAGTAACTTGAGGTTAAGATGTTTGTATCATTCACTGCTGCATCCACAGTGTCTCAGGAGGGCTTGGGATATGTAAAATACTAAATAAATATGGGATGATGTACAGAATAATACTGTTAGAAATTATTTCATTTTGGACAATTAAAAACTGTGTGTTGCATACTTGAGTAAAGATTCCAAAGATTTGAATGGAGCTGGAGGAAATCCTGTTTTTCTTCAAAACATAATCTATAGGTTAAATAGTAGTTTCTGTACCTAGGAGATTCTTCTTTAATAATTACAAACTCTGAACACAACAGTAAAATTAGTAAAACTTATTTTTGGAATGATTACCCTTTTAGTCTTATAGGATTTATCTATTTCTAGGTTAATTTTTTGCTTTCTTTAAAACAGAACTTAAGATATTATCAGCAATCTCACTGTGAATTTAAGTCACCCTCAAGTATATGCAGTGGTCT